TCACAATCAAGTAAACTGAATATCGAACAAACTGCTAAAGTTAATTGAAATAATTATCGTTCGCAAAATTTTTTATTAAATTAAAAACGAAGGTTTGATTAGTATCAATGTAATTTTATATGGTTATTCATTATTAATGCTACCTTTAATTTCACCTTTTTCAAGTTTTTGTATAATATAATTTAGTTAAAAAATATTTTAGTAATTTATTATCAATTAACGCATTAATTTAAACAAAATCTTCATAACTAAATTTATTTAAGTACTAAGTTCGAGTGATTGAAGTTTTTTTATTTACGGAACAAAAATGACGTCACAAAGTTTAATAATATGTAAATTTTTTACATACTTTTTAAAGAAAGTTAACCATCAGTCAAAACAACCATCAGGCTCGAACAGGAGTCAAAATAAGTGTTGAACATTACTGACAAAATGAGCAATAGTTGCTTGCCCTTATTTAGCAGGTCTCAAGAATGGTTTAAGGGGCGGCGATATCTGGCATCTATTTTGATCCCTGGGTTCAAATGCTGCAATAGTTAGAGAACCGATGCCTGAAAACAATTTTCCTAATTGCTGGAATAAAATAGAAATATGAGTTATTCAAAATAAATTATTACGGCCTTTTCATAAATGTAAAAAACTAGGATGTTCTTATTGCGCAGGAACTAAACCATTCACCATATATAATATAAAAAAGTTTGTGGAAAAAGAATTAAATTTCATATTAAAAATGAATTACATCAAGGAGTCGGCTTATATTCACGATATTCTGCAACCTGAATTATTAAATATATTCAAGTGAATCAAAAAGAGATATTTTCTTTAATATTGTTAAGAAAAATTATGAATAATCAAGGAAAAGCAGGCATAATTATTGATGAGGCGTAAACTATTTTTAATAAATCATTTATTGCAATATTATGAGTAGTATTTAAGTAGAAGCTAATGACATTTGTCCCACGTTATTTGGTCGAATTGGTAGCTAAAAATGCTACAACAATTCAGTACAATTTAAAACTCTAAATGTTATAAGAATTTACAATGAATTATTAAATGTATAAAGCTCTTTTGAAATGACTGAAGAAGATCTAAAAAAAAAAATTAATAGGATACAATAGGTGTAGGAATAAAAATGGTTAAAAGTTATATAGGAAAATTATTAAAACGGAAAACAACACGTTATAATTGGTGATATAAAATCAGTTTGATTGAATGGTTAAATGGTGCTCTTCAAAGATCTGTACCTGGACCATTTTAGTTCTCTTTGTATTGTACGACTTGCCTTCTAACTTAAATAACATATGCAAACTATATGGGGTTAATTATAAAATTATTGATTTAGTAAATAATACGTTAGAATTTTTGCAGATGATATTGATAAATTAACTGAACAGCCTAACAAATGGTTAAAGGGACAGCCTAACAAATGGTATGAAGGGACAGATACAGTAAAAGATGTAACTTTGAAGAACAATGAGTCAAGCAATATTGAGTTTTGATTGATGGAACTATAGATAATAGCTAATTTGAGAAACGACTATGATAGATTTGAAGAAAAAAAGAAAAAAAATGCAACCTTACAACAATAGGAGAATGGCTCAAGCTTGAAAGGCATAGCAGGTTTAACTACGTATACAATGCCTTTTTAGACCTTATCTATAAGAGAAAGAGAATCATTGGAATAAACGGCCTAAAAATGACAACAATATTCCATCCAGGGACAAGTAAGAGATTTATAGTGGAAGAGAAAGGAATCAGGAGTTAAAAAATAGTGAGCACGATAAAGAGAAGCAACCTTTGTAAATGCTAACTTTGCGATGGATTTTATTTATGGTTTCCATAAGAGGTCTGTACTAAATGATAATTTAGAAGACGCAAAGAAGAGGAATTAGTGAAAAGGTTGCCATACATAAATATAGGAGCATCGACAGCACATAGTTGTTTGCCGCACCTGAGTTTTGCCTGAGTCTTGTTAGAGTTAAAATTTATAATCTACCACAAGCTCTCGGCTATTACAAAAGAGAGAGATCAGATTGAAGATCGGTTGCCTGTTCTAAGCTATCGAAAAAAAAAGATTTTTTTCCAAAACAGAAGTATAAAATTAAATTGTCACCAGACAGAGCTATAGATAAAAGATAGCTAGCAAGATCATAATTATAGATAAGAAACAGGACCAAGTTAACTTACTTTATTCAAGGATAGCACCTTGATTAGAAATGGAATATTAGACTCACCTTTGTTAATTACATACAAAAATCTCTTGAGGTAAAATACTAGTAAAATGGGAATAATAAAGCTTAGCATCAGACAGGACCTTCTAACAATAATAAAAAAAAAGTTTGTTCTTAAAAGAGTTGTTTTAGTAAAAAATATGAAAAAAATGATTACAAGTAGATATAGCATTAGAAATGGTATTCATATTTTTGTGCAGCTGCACAAGATTATGAAAACTAAGGATTAGAAATATAACCTTTCATACCATACCAAGGCAAAAAACGTTGTAACATAGGTTTACATCTAGGCAAGTCTAATAGAAGAAGGTGTGCGAGAAGAATAATTCAACAAGTTTTTATTTGGGGGATCTTCACCCCAAATGTTTTTGTTTAGGAGATCTTCTGCAAGAGAGTAGCTGGATGCAGTTAACATCTGCCCAAAATAAGTATTTCTATGGAAACTCTAACTCTAGCCTTTACTCAAGCGAGAGCCCCATGGCAGGGTATTTTTAGGTCAGAGTTTATTTCTCCTAGCATTAATTTGGTATCATTGATACATGTAATATTTTTTGCATTTAAAACTTATTTTATTTATTATTAAGTTTGGCATCATTAATGCATCTATGATAAATATGTCTAAAAAATTACCTTAAAATGGGGTTTATACATTTCCAGGTGACTTTGACGGATGTTGCGGCTGTATTTACTATTTTACTTATAACATTTTTTTACAAACTCTTTAAATTTATGAATAACAATGAATTGATATTGTTAAGTTGTTTTAAAAACTTTAAAGTATTTAGATAAACTAAAAAATATTTCTTAACATAAAAAAACTGCATTTCTCAACATGGCTGCAAACTTCTTGACGGCTATTTTATTAGGTGACTTTTTTTTAAATCAATAATAGGCAACTGTTATTATCCAAATCTTGGCTTTCAGTATTAAAAAATAAGTTTTGCCCTATTACTCGTTATTTAATTTATTTTAAATTTTTAAGTTTTTTTACATAAAATAATTATTATCCAGTTCATGTTTTGATATATTGTCATGTTTGTTTGCTGTATAATGATTATATATTCTGACTTATATGGTCTATATACAATTCTGACATTACTATATAAGTTTGACAATTCTCTCAATATATTTAGACCCAATCACTCAGATATCTCATGGCCAATACTTTATCATATTTTTATTCAAGGAACTACTTCAATGATAAACCATTCAAATACTGCACTTTTTTATTAAATTCCTCTTGTGCATGCATAAAGTAAAACAAATGAATTGTGCAACTTCGATTATTAAAAAAACGACTCATCGACGTAAATTATAAATTTATGACGTATTTTTACGTATATATATATATATATATATATATATATATATATATATATATATATATATATATATATATATATATATATATATATATATATATATATATATATATATATATATATATATATATATATATATATATATATATATATATATATATATATATATATATATATATATATATATGTATAGTTAATATTATATATATAATTAATATTATATATATATATATGTATATATAATTAATATTATACAACATATAATATATATATATATATATATATATATACATATAATATATATATATATATATATATATATATATATATATATATATATATATATATATATATATATATATATATATATATATATATATATATATATATATATATATATATATATATATATATATATATATATATATATATATATATATATATGTATAGTTAATATTATATATATAATTAATATTATATATATATATATTTGTATATATAATTAATATTATATAACATATATATATATATATATATATATATATATATATATATATATATATATAAATATATATATATATATATATATAAATATATATATATATATATATATATATATATATATATATCTACTATAGCATATTTATATGCGCAATTGCTCACTTTTTTGCTAGCCTAAATTAAGTGAGCATTTTTAGAAAACGATGAGGGAAAACAAAGAATAATGAATGAAAATGTTGCTGACCCATACCAAACCCTCAGTCGATAAAGCAGCACTCCACGACGAGTCAGGCTATTTGTCAGTCGATGTATGTACTGAAGCCCCCGGCAGCAGGCTATTTGACATTAGGTGAGTATGACATCATCATGCTCACCTAACTCAGCAGTATAAGATATATATGTATATATATATATATATATATATATATATATATATATATATATATATATATATATATATATATATATGTATATATATATATATATATATATATATATATAAAATATATATATATATAAAATATATATATATATATATATATATATATATATATATATATATATATATATATACATTAATTTCATGAAAAAAAATATATTTTTACAGTTCATATATATTTTATATATATATATATATATATATATATATATATATATATATATATATATATATATATATATATATATATATATATATATATAATTAATATTATATAACATATAATATTAATTTCATGATAAAAAAAATATTTCTACAGTTCATATATATTTTTTTCAACATTAACCCCCTTATTACAATCGTGACATTGAAAAATAACGGAAATAACGGGTTTATTTAATCGGTACGTGTTGATCTATAAACATTCTATCTCAACGTATCGTGCAGATAATAAATATTTTCAGTTAGTCAAAAAACTGTTTGTATTGTAATTTTTCAATCATCTTTATATTTTATTCTTTAAAAGAATATAAACGATATAACTGTTAACATTTCGTTAACAGTTATATCGCGAAAGCCATGATTTTTTTCTTTAAGTTTGCATTTGTGATTGGAGTGCTCACTTTAACTGATGGAAAAGATGCTAAAGAAGAAATAGACTACATTCAATCATTGATAAAATGCAGTGTGCAACAGGAGTTGACCATCATTAATGAGGAAGGTTGCAATCCACAAGGTATGTTTTATAGAACTTTTTAGTAACTTCAAAGTTTGCTAAACTATAAGTTGTTTAGTTCGTCTGTCGGATAATTTAACGTTATAATAAAACATGGGAGATTCTAATATTTAGTTCTGCAACAGATCAAGTAACACACAATTACAATTAATATTTAAAAAAACCATTTGGTATTTTAAAATGCAAAGTATATATATATATAGAATTTCGCTTTTATTCACTTTTAAATTTTTTGTTGAGTTGTATTATGAAAATTTAGTTTCATTCAAATTAGAAATTTTTTTGTTAATATTTTGATGCTTATTCTAAAACTGTAAAACGTTCAAAAAAATATCTTCTTTACATGGTTTTATCTTTTGAATAATATTTTCATTAAACGTTGAAAAAAGTTTCTTCTTTACATGGTTTTATCTTTTGAAAAATATTTTGATTAAATTTGAATTCTATTTTTGAAATATTGTTCTATTTAAAAAAAATATTATTTTTTTCAAAAATTAAGTTTCCTCAGCCAACGAGTTACAGGATTGGAGTTAGGATGGACGAGCATTTTTGATGCGCCTCCACCCTTACTCCAAAGCAATTAAATATTAACTAGAAACAAATGTTAAATACTTGTTGTAATAAATAAATTTGTTGTTATAAATAAATAAATAAATGTTAAATAAATTAACTTTATTAATTTTTAATAATGTTAAAAGATGTTGTGTTTTTGAAATATTTTTAAAATATATAATGACTAGGGCCGCCGAGAGCTGTAACGCCGCCTGGGACAGCAATCCTGATTGGCGCCCTTATTTATCAAATTTTTCCTATATTATATATAAAGGACCTCTTTTTTTTTTTTTTTTTTTTTGACACCTAAATTTCATTTGGCACCCCTTAGATATCTGCCCCCCGGGACAAACTGTCCCGGTTGCTCCTCCCTCTCGGCGGCCCTGACTAGAACTAATAATTTAATGTTATGGTCGAAAAATTAAAGTTTTAGCGTGACGTAAGGGCAACAAAATATCAAACGATCAAAAACTTTAATTATTTGCCATAAACTTTTTTTTTATTGCTTAAGGCATGTAAACAAAATTTTTAATTTTTAGTATTTGTTTTGAAATAAAAATTACTAATTTATTCGATAGTAGTAGATAAACAACCGCTCAGACAAAGTTATAATTTTTTTTCAAAAAATTTTTTAAATAGTCAATAAATAATATAAAATAAAATTTTGATGTCAAGTATTTAACATTTGTTTTTAGTTAATATTTAATTGCTTTAAAGCAAACGAGCAATTATTTTTCATCACATCCGCCGGCGGGAGGCAAATATTTCCGCATTGGAGGCGGCCTCCAAATGGCTTTGCCTCCGAAATTTCTTCTGGGGGTGGCCACCATTGGCTTCCGCTACTCTATTGGCGTCGGCCTCCAAAACATTTTGCCTCCAAAAAGAACTCCGGCTGCGGCCGCCAATAGAAAAGCCGAAGCCACTGGAGGTGGAAGAAAGAATATTTTGCTGCTAAAAATTGATCGGGATGCAGCAGCCGTCTGCTGTGGAAGAAAAGTGGAGGCAAGAAGATTTATTAACACTGAGCTAATCTAATAAGTTTTTAAGATGTTTCGACAACTGAATGTTATGATAACAATTTAAAGAGTGAATATAACAATGTGAAAAAGTTTTGGTTTGTTAAAAAAAACTAAATATGCTATTAAAAGTTATAAAAAGTTAAATGCTAATAAAATCAAAAAGATCCGAGAGTTTAGCCCTAATATATAAACAGCAACAAATAAGCAGTTAAAAATAAAGATGGTAGTATAAAATTCATTGATTGTCATTGATAAAACTTAAATAACATGCACCTTGAATGATTTTTTTGATTGTGTTTATACATCTAAAAATTGGGAGACACTACTAGAATTCAAAACTAGATTCCAAACTATGTTAAAAAAATACATGTTTCTAAAGAGGTACTAAGAAACTGTACACTTAATACAGACATTAAAAAATCTTTGGGTCCTAACTCTGTTCATTCATGCGAATTGAAGCACTCTGCAAACAGTACGTGTTTATTATTATATCTTATTTATAAGAAGTTAATTTCCAGTTGTTTGACCCCAGTAGAATGAGAAGAAGCAAATGTAACTCCTTATTTCAAAAAAGGAAGTAGAATTATTCCTTCTATTTATCGTCCAATATTTTTATATTCATTCTTCTGCAAGATCACGGAACGAACTGTAGCTGACAAATCAAATGCATCTGACAAATTATTTAAATTCCAATAATCTTTGACATCAACATGGTTTTTTAAAATAACTATTCAAAAAAATTTTTTGAGTGTTTAAACTTTGTAATTAATGATATCGACGAAGGAAAACCACATGACGTATTATATACTGATATTCATGTTTGACACAGTCAAATGCGAAAGCATTTGACCGTGTAAAACATGAAAGATTAGTAGCATTTTTGCAATGTTACATATGGATACAAGGTTTTAGATTTTACTTCACATTTCAATTCAAGGTAAGCAAATATTATACATATATACAATCCATAGATAATAGGATGAGTAAATTATAAATAATCTAAGTTTAATCAGCTTGAAGAAATTTTTTTTTTTGATTATCCTTTAATTTTGTACTATGCTTAATAGGGTACGTCGATTTGAAGGCTAAAACGTAATGTTTAAAAAAAAGAAACTACAAGATATGAAATGGAATTTTGCTTGTTTTTTGTATGGTTTAATGTGTTAATCAGTAGCGAAGGCAGTATTTTTTGATGTTACAGATACTTTTTGATTTAACAATACTTTCAAGTACTTTGTAAACTCTAAATTTGAGTACATATATGCTTACTATACTAATTAGCATACTATACTAATTGCAACTTTATCGATAGGTTTTGAGTTTCGTATAATAATCATTTAACGTTCAAAAGTTACGGCTATACAAAAATTCCGCTCTCCCGAAAAAGACTTTCGAACACTAAAATACTTAAGTTTTCAGTTTGCACAATGCCTAAAAGTGTTTAGGTCCTGTCTACGTCACTGTGTGTTAAGCTTTTGAAAATATTAAAAATAATGAAGTAAATTCGTTTTTTTGCTTTAAAAGAAACTTAAGTTGAAGAAATTTGTTTCAGATCTATTAGAATATTAGTTTTTAGCGCCTTATTTCTATAGTTTTTAAATTTTAAATTAAAATTTAATTTAAGTTTTAAAGTTTTTAAATTTAAAACTTCGATAAGAGTATAATAATATTTTAATTAAATAAAAAAATGAAAAAAATAGGAACTACATTAGCTACTTACGTAAATATATTTGTTCAGAAAGAAAAGCAACTTTTATCATGGAGATAAGGGATATTTTAAGATATCAAGAAAAGTCATCAGATTAAAACAAACCACACCGTTGATACACTAATTACTGATATAACTTCAGCTATTGTGATTGGTCACTACTACTGTTTCCAGATTTTCTCAGTTAGAAAAACTAATTGCAAGTTTGTACTTCCAGTAATTATTCAAGAATTTGGCATTAAAGTTAAACTCATTTTGGGATACTACAAAATTAGTCTTGAAGTATAAAAAAAATATCAATAAACTTTTTATCATTTGGGAAATAACTTTTTGCTCAAAGTTTAGTTGTAACGATAACTGTAATAAACAGGTGCTTGTTAAATGCACGTATACAATTAAAAAGTTTTTCATAGATTTAACGGAGAAGGTCAGGCAGCAAAAAGACATTAATTTCTCCATGAAATTATAAATTTACAACAAAAAAGGTAAAATTTAACTATCAAACTGAAAGGGAATAACACCTATTAAAAGGTATTTTTTTTATTTTCTAATATTTAAAGCTAATACAATACTGCACACAAAAAATAAAAATTTACAATCAACATTCTGCATGACCGATATTTAGACATTAGAAGCACAAAGTTTTTTTTATTTTTTCATTTATGTCCATGAATTTTTAATCTTTTTATGTCTTTAAATAATAAATACAATATCTTTAATACACATCTTCGTGAAAAAGTGAAAAACGCCGCCATTTAAACTTGTGACCGTAATTTAAGGTTACCAATTTCCTCTCTATCCCAAATACGGACAAAATTCTAAAAAATTTTGTAATTGTTGTAAAATTGTGTTAAAAGACCGTAATTAATGGAAACGAAAGTCTGATAATAGCTAAGGACTTTTTTTTTACCTTTTTTTTCGAATAAAATTTATTCATTAGAAATCAGCTTTATCATGTCGATAAGTGATAAATTAGGAACATCACTCTATTGATGACATTGACATAAAAGAATCAACAAGAATAAAGAAAGTTGTAAATTTACGATTTTTTATAAAAAGAAAAGTTTTTTGTTTGGGTAATTAGAGTGTGAAATAAAAAATAAATAAATCAATAAAAGTTGAAAAATTCTAAAGGACTTTCAGGAAACATGCTAAGATAGTTGCAGACCACTTTGTTAATTGATTGAAAAAAATTTAGAAAAGCAATTAAAGGCTGTTGGAAAAGACAGAAATTTAAACTGCGAACGGCCCAACATATGTGGCTCAACACAATGTAAAAACAAGATGTTTTGACTACTTGAGAAAATGTTAAATACAGTAAAAGATTATGAAATCTATTCTAACTTCTAGAACAACTGATAATCAAAACCTAAAATCCTTACAGAATAATTAAAGCCTATTATGCTCACAGAATAGCCAAAACCTAATATGCTTACAGAATAGTAAAAATATAATATGCTTACAGTATAGCCTAAACCAATTATGCTTACAGAACAGCCAAAACCCTTACTTTTTTATTTTTTTTAAACATCTTTGCTTCCAACAAGGCTGGTAATTTAATTTAATAATTTATTTAAATAGAACTATATTTCAAAAATAGAATTCAAATTTAATCAAAAAAGATTAAACCACTAATTAGTGTTGGAAGTTACTGAAAGAGAAATGATGAAGTTTATAAAGCAAGATAACGATTGACGGACGACTTAAAAGATTGCAAGTTATATGAATCAGAAAAGCAAGATAAAGGAAGCTAATTCCAAAGAACTGATGTTCGAGGAAAAAAATTTGACGAATAAGAGTTTTTTTTTTTTCACTGTTCACTTAGGAACAGTCACAGAAAAAAGATGAGACTCAATTGAATGACGAGTAACACGAGAATGAATTTTAGTTGATGGCACAAGAGACGTAAACTCTTTAGAGCAGTGCCCATTATAGTATTTGTAGAAAAGAGAAAGAGAAGCAACATTAGGACGATGTGATAATGGTTGCAGGTTGGCTGCAAGAGCAGATCCAACTTTGTTTACAATGTATTTTTGCACCTTGTCTAAAAGAATAAAGGGCATCATTTGAAGATCCGTCCCAGATATGGCAACAGTATTCCTTACAAGGCCGGACTTGAGATTTATAGAGATAGAGAATAGAATCTAGAGTAAGAAAGTGTTGAGTTCGATAAAGAGATGAAACTTTAGCAGATGCTAATTTTGAAACGGATTTGATATATGGTTTTCAAGAAGGATCAGAAGTAAGAGTTAATCCTGGAAGATGAAAAGTAGATGATTCATTGAGTACATTACCGTTCATAAATATAGGAAGGTCTAAATTATTGCGATACGACTGGATAAAAAAATTGAGTAGTATCATCAGCGAACAATGCCACCTTAGAAATGAGAATATCAAGAAGATCGTTAATGTAATTTAAAAAGAGTATAGGGCCAAGGATTGAACCTTGGTGAGCCCTTGAGGTTACAGAATAAGAAGAAGAGTGCTACGAATGGATATACTACAATTAGAAAGGAAGGATTCAATAATCTTAAAGATGTTTCCAGATACACCGTAAGAAGAAAGCTTATGGAGGAGACCAACATGCTAAACTTTATTCAACGCTTTAGAAATGTCAAGAGCGATAACCTCTCCACCTTTATCTAATGCACGATAAAACCTATTGGTTGATACTGTTAGCAAATCAGCCGTAAAACGAGAAGATTAAAATCTATATTACTGATCAGAAAGTAAGTAATTAAATTCAAGATGAGAGATTAAGTGTTTGTTAATTAAAGATTCAAAAACCTTGCTTATGATAGGAAGAAGACTAATGGGACGGTAGTTAGACAAATCAGATCGCTCTCCAGAATTATTAAAAATAGGCACTATTTTTAAAAATTTTGGAGAGAATTTTAAGCACTAGTTGAATAGTTTTGAAAGGATAGTCATCACCTCCGGAGAACACTTCTGCAAGGCTGTAACAGATATGTTGTCCGGGCCGCAAGCTGTAGAAGAGTCTAAGCAGAAAATCACTTTAGATACAGTAGCTAGAGTGACACGGATGCCGAGCAATGAATTAACCTGTTTAACGGCTATATCAGGTAGAACGCAACTAGTGGAATCAAGAGATGATATTGATGAGAAGTTCTTAGCAAATAACTCAGCTTTGTCTTTAGGTAAGGTGACAATGTCTGAACCGTACAAAAGAGGTGAAATTACAGACTTGCCTTTATTATTGATACTATTAAAGATTTTCCAGAAGTCACGAGAGCCTAATTTTTGTGATGAAATACAAAATTTCATGACCTGAGAATAGCGGGCTTTGGCGTTAGACAAAAACCTTTTACAATGGTTCCTAGCAGTAATAAACAAACGTCTGTTTTCTGGAGAATATTTTTGGTGATAGATATGGTAAGTAAAAGAGAAAGGTGATAGAGTGAAGTGGTGCTAAACGAAAGTACATAAAAGAGTAGTCTGTGGATTCAAACCTAGTTTACCGACAAATAGGTGAATTCTTACGAATGTAAATGCCCAGGCCAAGCATGTGACTATTGAAGTCTTTACGAATTAATGGAAGATAACCATCAAAACTAAGATCACAAGATGAGACAGCTGAACTCAAATTGGTCAAAGAGCAAATAGGTCTGGTGAACTTTGCAAGAGATAAGACGCAAAAGAAGAAAAGTTATTCGAAGACCACGAATTAGTGAATGATAGATTTAGCAAACTTGGTGATGTTAAGATTTGTTAAAGAACTTGACTCGAAACATAGATAGTACTCAGTACACTGTTTAATAGCCCAAGCAATTGCCTTATTACTATTTATAAACCCTAAACTTTAACAAAGGGCTCGAAACGTGGCCTTGGCAATGCACACCAAAAGTACAAATAGAGACAGCATCCATGCGCAACATGGCACTGTTAATACTTTGATATTTTCAGCTATTGATGGAATCAACCTCCTTGAGAGCTACCACAGAGTTTGGGAAACCTGACTACCAGCCGGCCTCAGAACCATAAAACTGAGTTTTAGAGCTATACCCTTATTAGGAGATAAAAGAATGAGTTGCCAAATCATAAAGACAGAGACACAAGCAAAACCCAAGCATCGAGTCAAGAAGATCCAGCATTTAACATCCTAAACTGGAAACAATGGATTAAAAATTGATTTGCGCCAGCCTAATAGATGAATAATTTGCTTACAGAATAGTAATAGTAACCTAATATGCTTACAGAATAGTTAAAACCTAATATGCTTACAGAATAGCCAAAACCTAATATACTTACAGAATAGTTAAAACCTAACATGCTTACAGAATAGTCAAAACCTAATATACTTACAGAATATTTAAGACCAAATATGCTTACAGAATAGCCGTAGCCTAATTCCAAACTGGTTCAACATAAAAGTCAAATCATGATGGTTAAAGGGCTCAAGACACATTTTATATTATTTTGAACTTCTGAGGAGCCAGAGAAAACCAGTTCTTGGTATTGCCATACCCACAACAAAAAGGTCAGCTTATAAAGCGCATTTAGAAGCTATTTATCAAGCTATGGTATGTAGTGAGAGTAAAGAAGAATGTGTTTAATTTATAGATAAATTTAGAAAATATAAGTTTATGGCTACTTTTAGTATCCTACCCTAGACACAGAATAGCACAAGAAAAAATAAAAAATAACAGTTGTTTTTTAGAACAAAATATTTCATTTTACCATAGTTTACACATAAACAATTAATAAATAGAAGGCTTCCTATTTATCAATTAGTTAATTATTAATAGTAGGTTTTAGCTTAAGGAAGATATCATACTTATTGAAGTTTTAGCTTAAGGAAGATATCCTACTTATTGAAGTTTTAGCTTAAGGAAGATATCCTACTTATTGAAGTTTTAGCTTAAGGAAGATATCCTAATTATTGAAGTTTTAGCTTAAGGAAGATATCATACTTATTGAAGCTTTAGCTTAAGGAAGATATCATACTTATTGAAGTTTTAGCTTAAGGAAGATTTCATACTTATTGAAGTTTTAGCTTAAGGAAGATATCATACTTATTGAAGTTTTAGCTTAAGGAAGATATCATACTTATTGAAGATAAAACGCTGTCGTTAAGGCTGTATAAGTTTCCTGGTTTTACTAAAAATTTGCACATACATATGTACATATCCTTAAGGGTATGTGCATATGTGTGTGCAAAATTAATTAAGAAATATGCATACACCCTTAAGGGTATGTGCATATTTCTTAATTAATTTTGCGTCGAATATTTCCTTGGGCAAGTTATATTATGATGTAATAAAAAAAAACAGTGATTAGTATTTCAGATTATATTGACAAAATGGCTAGATTGTTTGACCTCTTAATTTCCTTCTCAAGTATTTTTTTTTTCATTCGAAGATACCACTATGACTGTTCTGATGAATAGTTTGTACTTTTGATTTTTTGTAGTGCAATATTGACGTTTAGATATATATAAGTGAAATCTCTTTTTCGTATTCAATTAAATAAATTGGTTATTCTTATTTTATATATCTATATTCTTATTTTCTGTTTGACTTAAACATTCTTATAATTTTTTGCAAAATTTAATGTCAGAAGTTTGTAATGTTACTTGATATCTTATTAATACTTCATAGTTACTGTACATAGACTCGTCATAGTTACTGTACACAGACTCGTCTTAGTTACTGTACACAGACTCGTCATTGTCACTGTGTACAGACTCGTTATACTTACTGTACACAGACTCGTCATTGTCACTGTGCACAGACTCGTTATAGTCACTGTACACAGACTCGTCATAGTTACTGTGTACAGACTTGTCATAGTTACTGTACACAGACTTTAAAATTTTTCTCTGTTTTTGATTGCATTAACTAGCAATCTACCAACAAAAACAAAAATTTGATAACCATGCACTTCTTCATTTTTCCATCAGGAACTTTTAGTTTACCGTTACAATTTTTTTTTTCCTACGTAGTCTTCTTCAGTAATGTTTCGTTTTTTTCTCAAATCCGTCAAAATCATTTCTAATACTCTTTAAGTAATCGATGAGTGATTAATAGTATGACTGTCAAAATATTTACGTCGATAATTTTTATATTTTTTACTGGTCGCACTGACTCTTTTTAGGGCAGATCTCCAGATAACTACCATTATTGTTTCTAAACGTTCTAAACAACTCTGTAATCTACTAGTTTTGTTCTTAGTTATGTTCTTTTCAAGAATATCATTTTCAAGTTCATAAGTTATTTCTTTCCACAATTGATGTTGGCGGTTTTTAACGATTTCTATTCTTTTATTTTTTATAATTTAACAAAATTACTTCTCATGAAATAAAATAATTTTCATATAAATAAAATATTAAAAACTTATATTAATTATACTTCATTCCTATGACGGAGATTTTATTGTAAAATTAAAGAACTCTTAATCTGATTTTTACATATTGAGGAGATAAGTTAAGATGTTAAAGGGATAAAACTGTTTACAAATAAAAGTTGAACTTTATTTTATTATACACGGAGTTATATGTGACTCGTCTTATAAAATGTAATGATAAATGAACCCTCAGCGTTCAGATACTACTCTTGTGTGTGTGTTTTTTTTACCCGGCTATATAAATCTCTATTCATATTACTATTGTTTATATAAATAAAAATAAAAATTTTTAGAAGTAAAGATTGGAGTTTGTCAAGGTACCTGCCTCTCAGCTACGTCATTCAAAAATAGCTACCCGTGGTACACTTCTAAATGCACATGCTGCAAGAAAGAAAAAGTAAAAATAGAAACATTCGAAATCAACTGTGGAGAAACAATCAAATTTGTATTGAGAGAGAGCATAGTTGCCTGTAAATGCACAGCATGTGATTCTGAAAAAGAATAACATTTTAAATTAAAATATTAAAGTAATGTAAAAAGACTGTGAAGATAAACAATTTACTGGTTTAACTGAACACAAGGACCTCTGAATACGTGTATCTAACACACGTGAAATAAACAGTTTTTCGAAATTTCTGGCGCTAAAAAACAATCCTGAAATTAGAAATTATTTTTATTTGAATACAAATCATTTAAATTTTGTATGGTCAGTTAACTACTTCTATTTTGTTTAATAAAATACAACAAAAGTTTTCATTTTCTTATTTTTAAAAGAACTTGAAGAGCATTTAACTAGGAAGTTCACACCTCCTTCCTTACCAACCTCCGTCCTTACCAACCTCCTTCCTTACGAACGTCGCTTATCTGACCGGAACCGGCATCAATTTTGCTGTTCTTACCACCGATTGGATGGTAAGATCCAGAACTCTAACCACTGCTCCAAAGTTACTTATTTTCATATTAAATTAAGTAACGTTAATTGATAAATTAATTGAATATTAATCATCGTTATAGTCAACAACGCTGAGTGAAAGCAATTGCTTTTTTTTTACCCTTCATTTTTTTCTTGTGTGTTTAAATAAAAACATTAATAAATACAACGTAAATATTTAAGAGGTTTTAATGGTTGGTCTATGAACAATTATATCGTAAAAGTCATTGGTTGATACTTCGATATTTTCATCTTATGGTTGGCATATGAACAATAATATCGTAAAAAATTTGTTTGCTCGCTCCAATTATCGTTATAGTCATCAATTGAAACCTTAATTTTCATTGATGCCTATAAGTTTTTTTTTTTTTTTTGCCTAAAGTAAAAATATAAAAAAATAAATTCTTTTTTTCGTTATATTACTTGCTGTATCATAAGTTATTTCTCGAAAACTTTGAACTTCAACAAAAGTATTACATACTTCAAATCATACTTTATTGCTGAAAAATTGTACTTTAATGTTAGAAAGCTCATATTCTCTACAAAATTATACTCTATAACTTCATCTCTATAAAGTTTCATTTGCATAGAGATTTTTGTTTTTCCAGTGTATTTAAAAACATAACTTTTTTATTTATTTGTCAAGTCAGTATACTGGTTGCAAGCTATACTAGCAATTTAGTACCTTTTAAAGAATTTAGTTCGTTCCCTAAGATCTCATGCTATAATCCGGCGTTTATCTAGGATAATGACACTTTGCCAGTTCAGGATCACTAAGTCTATATCACTAGTATCTGATATTATTATATCATATTAAAAATCTTTATTATATTAACATACTCATCTATAAACGTTTGTGGATAAATTTGTTTCATATTTTTGCTAGCAAATAAAATTGCGGTATTTTTTTAATAATTTTAAAAATATTGATAGAACTTTGTATATTTTCTCTCTGTAGATAAATTGTCAGATTCCTTTAAACTGGATCTCTTGTCTCATCCATCCTTTTTTCGATAAAATGTGTCAGTTTGAGCTTAACGCAGTGGTTAGAGCTCTCAGAATCATGAGTTATGAGGTTTAATGCTATTAATGAAAAGAATAATAACAACGAAATTAAAAACAAGCTTGTGTCTATGATATGTAAAAATTTCTTAAAAGTTATTTGTTTTTACTTTGTTAGAAAAAATCCCCCCGGAAAAAATCTCCCGAGAAAATATCCCCCCGGAAAATATCCCCCAAAAAAAAAAAATTTTTTTTACTTAAAAATTATCAATATGCAGTTATTTTTATTTCTTTCTTTATTTTAAATATTTGTATAAAATACTTCATTTTTCATCAAAATGTCAAGTTACGCGCTATTCCTCGAATGTGAAACCCTAACCCTGACGAACTGCAAACTGGTAAAATGTGAACTTTTTTGCGAACCACCGTCGAATTGGTTGGCAATGATGTATTACTTTATTTATCGTTCACCATTAAATAGTTAATTTAGCGGTATGTTTCAAGCAAAAAAAATTATTTAATTAAAATAAAAGGAAATTAAGTGAAACTAGATGAATACAATTTGAAAACATTTTTTTTTTAATTATTTAATAGACTGCCTGCCCAAACCAAACCCTCAGTCGATGTAGCAGCACTCCGTTGCGTGTCTGGCTATAAGGTAGTCGATGTAGGAACACTCCGCACATGTTTTACAGTTAAAAAATAAATTTTTTATTTAAATAAAGCTTTAAAATAATTAGGAAATAGAGAGTTTTTTTATTATTATTTTTATTATAAAAATAATGATTTTTAAAATATAATGTTTTGGTTCGCAAAAAAGTTCCCATTTTAACGGTTCGCAATTCGCGGTTCGCAGTTTGCATTTTACCGACAACCGAGGAATAGCGCATAACTTGAAAAATGAAGTATTTTATAAAACTATTTAAAGTAAATAAATTTAACTATTTAATTGATAATTTTTATTTTTAAAAAAAAATTATTTTGGGGGGATATTTTTCGGGGTGATTTTTTCTAGGGGGGATTTTTTTCCGGGGGGATTTTTTCTCGGAGGGATTTTTTCTCGGGGGGATTTTATATGGGGGGATTTTCTCTCATGGGGATTTTTTCTCGGGGGATTATTTCAGGGGATTTTTTCCCGGGGAATTTTTTCCTGCTACCAACGTTTTAATACATAAACGTTTAACTCATTGTTTAAAAGCCAAGATATACAATTGTTATAAATAACAATAGCCAAACAATGAAAAACAATTTTTTTTCACGTGGAAATACTTTTATATGATTATACATCAAATTGATAGCTGTCTCATCTATCCATTTAAATTTATGCAAAATATTGTGATTAATATATTTTCTTATTTTGTTAAAAATTCTAGAACTTCACTCGTAAAAAAAATTCAAAAAATATCAAAACAAAGTTGTGAGACAAAAAACGATTTGATTTCCGTCAAAACCTTGCACATTATTTAAAATGTTTTCAAATATACGAGACATTTTTAATTACATAAAATGCATTTACATTTTGCAAAAATTAGTATTTTACGAGTAATAAACCATTCACTGAAAGCAAACCAAAATGTCGGTTAAATGTCGGTTTATTTTGTAAAATTATTTCAAAGAAAGATGCTAAGAATTCCAACCCGCATAGAATTTCAATAATTGGCGGCGTCTCTGATCTAGAAAGCGTCCTTGATCCAACGTATAAAACCCAACGTTGCAAGTGCAAAAGTATATAACTAAATTTAATCTTCTGTGAATATCAAAATATCAAATCGCAAGCAAATTAAACACGAATTTAGTCTATTTAATCAATGGATTTATGGAATATATAATTTTCGTAACAAGGATTTTTTTTGCCAATTTTTTAAACTTTCTTGTAACTATTTTTTTCAATAAAAAGTAAATTGTAATCAGAGTGTTGATCTTTAGTGGAACCTTCTTTCTAAGTGGAATCTTCTTCTACTTTTTCTTCTATATTTTCACCAACCACAATTTCGATATCATCAAACAATTTATTGGGCAGATTGCAATATTTTACATATTGACAGTTAATGCAATCAGTGGACGAATGGACAATTCGTCCACTGTAGAAACAAATTTATACTGAGCCATGAGTCTTCATTGCTGAATGCAATCAAAATTCATGGAAAAGTTTGTTTACACATTTGAACTATTTACAAAGTTTACATTTAGTTTCATTATTTTGTTTTTTTTGTAATTATTTCAACTAATAGTATTTTACTTTACTAATTTCTTTTTTTTTTTATCTATTTTTTTGTTATGAATATATATATCTATTAAATATATAATAGTATATCTATTAATTTTTATTGCAAAAAACTAAAAAAAATGGAGTATAATTAACTTTATTGAAAAAAACTGGTGATAGTCACTACCCGTACTCTTTTTTCCTCTAGCTAAAAGTAACCAATTTTATTCAAAAACCAAAGAAAATTTCAAAAAATGAAACTTCTTCAACCCAAATATTTTGTTAGAAGACTTTATTTATGACCATATATATTATCTATGTAAACTCTAAATAAAAAGTCGAAATTTCTACTTTAGGGGATGATATGTCTTAGCAAGGTATAAATTTTTACTTTCTAGTGTAAAAAGTCATACCTTTTAGGTAGAAAAATATTATACGACAAATGATTATTTGTTATACAAATTTTTACCTTAGTAGGTTGAAAATCAAACCTTACTAATGGTCGCCTATACTACTCTAAAATAGAAAAATCTGTTTTTTTAGTCTGTACGTTTGTTTAATTTGTGTGTAAACTTTTCTGTTTTCTTTACTTGGTACATGAACTTGTTTACTTTGAACATGTATTTTGTATACATTTTATAGTACATAAAATTTGCCACTAAATTTTGTTTTTATATTTGACTTTTTTGTTCTGATTCACTCCCAACAAGGTTGCAAGCAACCACTATTAAGTTAAGAGTTACTACACAGCAAAATCCAAGGTTCTTGTTTTAAGCAAAAAAAGTCTTAAAACAAGAAAAAAATGACTTGTCCGCCACGTAAGAATATTTTTTCTTGTTTCAAAAATTTTTATCCTTAAAATAAGAATTTTTTTTCTTGTTTTAAGAACTTTTTTTCTTAAAAATTTTTTTTCTTGTTTCAAGAATTTTTATTCTTAAAACAAGAATTTTTATTCTTAATATAAGAATTTTTTTTTCTTGTTTTTAGAATTTTTACTCTTTATATAAGAATTTTTTTTCTTGTTTTAAGAATTTTTATTCTTAATATAAGAATTTTTTTTCTTGTTTTAAGAATTTTTATTCTTAATATAAGAATTTTTTTTTTGTTTTAAGAATTTTTATTCTTAATATAAGAATTTTTTTTCTTAAAATAGGAATTTTTTATCTTGTTTTAAGAATTTTTATTCTTAATATAAGAATTTTTTTTCTTAATATAAGAATTTTTTTTCTTAATATAAGAATTTTTTTTCTTGTTTTAAGAATTTTTATTCTTAATAAAAGAATTTTTTTTTATTACAAAAGTACTATTTCTATGGAAAAAAATGAAACATTATTTTGAAATTAGGATGATATATAATAAGAATATTCAACAAGCATTTATACATTTAAACAACAAATCTAATCGTTGAAATAACAAATTATTCTTTGAAATGTTTTATTATTGTTCATGCTTGTAGCGGCAATACTCCTCCTATGTTCACAAAAAGTGTACTCCAATAAGTTCCATCAGGAAGTCAGAAAATGAAAAACTTCATAAAATAATCTTTTGCCACACATAATAATCACTTCGTTGGCATCGTCTGTTACGTACAGATAAGGATTTCTTATACCTGCAAAAGGTATGCAAAAGTGTATTAATGTCTTCATTCTTGCTGAGTCAACTGTGACAGAAGACTTTAATACATGTGCCATGTCGCCAACAATCTGAACAAAATAATAATAATAAAAAAAGCATACAACTTTAAAAAGCAGAGAACACTTATAGAATAACCCACTAGGGGACATAGCAGTTTTGAAAATACATTCTCATTTAAAAAAGGATTTGTGATTTTCAAACACTATTTCATTTTATCCAATAAATATATGAAATCACAAATGAAAAAAATTTTTTTACCAATAGCACATTGATATTTCTCTAAAAATGCTGCAACTCTATCAACTCTCTCAATTGGAAATTTATTTACCCAGGTTAACAAATTAAAATTCTATACTTAGTTCAATTAAAATGCACCAGAACAATGTTCCAGTGCATTTTAATTGATCATGTTATAAAAATAAGGATAAAAAATGTAAAAAATTAAAATTAATTAATAATACTAAATTTACTAATTAAAAAGTATTGTTTTCTTTACTTACTTTACTTTGCATGTATTTGGAAACTTGCAATTGCTTAAAAGAAAACACACACATATATGTCAAATATGTGTATGTATGCAACATAAACATGGATATTTAGAAATAGTACAAATACTAATCTTAAGTAAAAACCAATTGTATAATAATAGCAATAACAATATTAAAACAATTATAACGAGGTAAGTAATGTTAACAATTATATTTATATTAATATAATAATAACAATAATAATTGTAACAATAATATTGATAAATATTAAATTTAATATTAAACAATAATAATAAGTAAAAGTGATATGAATAGAAGTAAAATAACTTTGATATTTATATTACATATAATCATACCAAGAGTAATAATAATGACCCACAATGAGCATTTTAAGAACAGTCATTACATTTCTCCAAAATAAGAAGACATAAAGATGAGTTTTAGTAGTAAAGTTTAGTGATATAAAGTGAATATAAAAAATAAATTATTCTATGAACAAAAAATGATAAATTATTTCATGATTTTATGCATTGGATTGTTATGTGATTTTTTATGCTGTACTTAACTGAACAATGATTTAGAATATATAATTTAAGGTTGCTAAAAGAGGAAGATAATTTTGAGAATTTTTTATAGAAGTAAAAAAATTACAGATTGGAAGAGGTAGGGTAATTTCAGACAAATAGACAATTTAATAGATGAACAAGAGCACACAATTTGATTTTAAATAGAAAGAAAAGAATATTAGAATTAGAGTGATATTCTTGAAAGCAAATTAATTTATATATCTTGTTTTTAGATTAGATCTTCATAAAAAATTATTGGTTCATAAATTATAAATATATACAATATATCATATTAAAGTGTTTGTAGTATGATTGAGAAATAAAATTTATATTAATATGTACATGGACTGATTTTTTTAAATTGATCCAATACTAGAATGCTATATATCATTGGAAAGCCCTCAAATACAGTACTTCAAAGGTCAAAAAATTATGAAAATTAGACAATTCTATAAAAAATATAACGTTTTTAGTAGCAATTTTTCAATATAAGGATTTCTTGATAAAACTGTGGTCAAAAAAAAAAATTCTCTACATAAATTATTATAACTTTGACAATTCTTCAAATATCTATAACTTAGTATTAAAAAATAGATGTAAAAATGGGCTATAATTTCAAACTAGTTTCTAGGTAAAGGGCGAATGGAGGGATTCAGAGGGAGTGCTAATCCGCCACCTACACCTCGCAAAAATACATTTTTTTTTTTTTAATAGAGTGTTTTCTTTATAAAATTAGTAATATTTATATACAACAAGTATTATTTATTTATTCCACATCACTAGCAAATATTACAGGTTTATCTTAAAGTTGGGTGTTGGGTTTTGGAGGTTTAACAGACCCTATCAAAATTTCATTCTTTTAATTATTACAATCTTTACTAAAATGATTGAATCTATTATAAAAAACAAAAAAATATATTTCAACACTATAACAAAGAGTAACTAGTGGTGTATAGATTGCTTTGATGGAAAAGGGCGTATACTGCCCCCCCCCCTGCCATGAACCTGAAAAAAAATATTTAATGAAAATTTCACAAAAAAAATGTTAAAATGCTTTTTTAAAAAACAGAGAGAAATTAGTATAAAAAAATATTTTAACACATTACAAAATGCATCAGAGTAACCATTTTGTCAAAAAAGACGGATTACACACTCCAACCTAAAAAAAAAATACATGCCTTTTGAAATAAAAAAGTGTAGTATAGTATATATAAATTGCCTTTATGCACCCCCTTTCATAAAGGCAATTTATACATGTAGAGGTGTATAATTCGTCTTTATAAAAAGAGGAGCAAGCCATCCCCCTCCTCTGTCGGAACCAAATAAAAAAATTTTAATTACAATTTAACAAAGAAGTTGTAAAATGTTTTTTTAAAGAAAAAGAAATTAGAATAAAAAACTATTTTACCACATTACAAAATGCATCTGAGTATACATTATCATGTAAAGGAACAGATTAACCACTCCAACCTGAGAAAAAACACAAAAAAAAACAAGTTTTTTGAAATAAAAAATGTAATTATTTCTTGTCTGGGCTTCTAGTAAATATTTTAATTTTTAAATAAAATTAACGAAACAAAATGAATACTTTTTAACAATAGACACCACGTAAAGGTAAGCCAGAGCCAACTATCAATTCGCAAGCCACAAAACTTGCAGTACCTACTTGCAAGCCACAAAACTTACTGTACCTGATTTGCAAGCAACAAAACTTGCGATACTTATTTTGCAAGTCATAAAATTTGCAGTACCTATTTGCAAGCCACAAAACTTCCAATACCTATTTGTAAGCTACAAAACTTGCTGTACTATATTTGCAAGCCACAAAACTTGTGGTACCTCTTTGCAAGCCACAAAACTTGCTGTACTTATTTGCAAGCAACAAAACTTGTGGTACTTATTTGCTAGTCAAAAAACTTGTTGTACTTATTTTCAAGCCACAAAACTTGCAAAACCTATTTGCAACCCATAAAACTTGTGGCAGTTATTTTGCTGGTTACAAAACTTGCTATGCTGTAAGCATTTTTACATTAATTTCATATTCCAATTAAGAAAATTTAAACTTCCCTGATATAACAACAGCAACTAGCAGGAGTTTTTAATCTTTTGACAGTTCAATATCAGTTCCATCTTGTTTCCAATAAGAAATAGTGTAAATTCTGCCTTGTTATTTCTTGTTTATTTTTTTCAACTCTACCGTCATAAATGGCAAAATAAAAACTTAAACAGAAAATTAACAATGAAAATATAAAAAAAATCTTATTACAAACAACAAACTAACACTTGGAATATTGCTACAAAGTTAAAGTAGTAAACAATAAATTAATAATTATTATTAATTTTTTATTAATTTGAAATTTATAATTCAAAATTATTAATATAAAATAATATTGATAGTTTAAAAGATAAAATTGTTATTGATTATTATTAGTTAATAACAATTTTATCTTTTATACTATTAATATTGCTTTAACATTATTAAAACATTTTAAAAACATTAACTTAATGATAAATTTTATGTTTTTAAAGTATTTTAATAAAAAAAGTTATAACTGTTATTGACTATTAACATATATTAATTTATTGTATATTACTTTATTTTTGTATTTAATAATTAACATAATTAGATAATGGAATATATAAATTGTATACTACTTTATCTTTTAATTATTGTTTACAATAGCTTATTAAACAGGCTATTGTGATCAATAATTAAATGGTTTTATTTTAAAACAATAATATTATTATCATTTTAAAATAAAACCATTTAATTATTGATCACAATAGCCTGTTTAATAAGCTATTGTAAACAAAGCCTTGTTAGTTTTTTTTAAATATATTATCATCATCTTATTATTAATAAGATGATGATAATATATTTAAAAAACACTAACAAGGCTTTTGTTAGTAAAGTAAATAAGTGTAAAGATAAATAAGTGTAACATCACATAAAGTATGTGATCTTTACACTTATTTATGTATGGTGTTTTTATAAAGTTGTCCACTGATACTTTGATCAAAGTATTCTCAATTGCAACTCAATTGAGTTAACAATTAATTCAAAGGCAACAGTTTTACTGAAGTTTTAGTCTTAAACGTTAAGAATTTAAAAAAGATTTTTAAATTTATCAACATAATTTAGTTTTAAAAATAATCATTACTTATACTTTTATTTAAAAAAAATAATTGACTAGTTGTTACAGAGTCCAACAAAACTTCATTAATTTTTTCCATTTTATTACACAATGTAACAAAAAAAAAAAAATTTTCTGTTTATCAAAATTTTTTGATGTTTCTTAATTAATTTGAGTATGCTGAGTCTGAATATGACATTGGATTTTTTATTGCATCAACCGTTTGGTCGTAAAACCAAAAAATCAATTAAACATATAATTAATATAAATCGTTTTTTTTTTTTTTTTTTTTTTTTTTTTTTTTTACATTATTCACCTCCCCAAGGCCCGAGGGGGCCACTACAGTCGAGGAGGCTACTCAATTTTTTGTGTTTTTTATTTTTTTGTTGTATTTCGTGGTACAACCCTCTCTCAACTCTTTAACTCCGAAACACGAACCTTGACAAGCAAGGCCGCTGCGCGGAGAAACTAAGTTTTGCATTAGATTCTACTAATTAGATTCTACTTTAGTCAATATAAAACATTTACTAATTCAAAAGTGTTATGTTATGTTACAAAACTTCATGTTACATCATGTTTCTTACATATATTACATAATGTTACATTATATTGTATTGTAACAGTCTCTCACAATCTCAAAAAACACTAAAAGTGAACAGTAGAACGAGGTTTTCTTTTATGAAGTTTCTCGTCATCGCGTATCAAACACCAGATGTAGTCACCCATCATAGCTGCATCCCATCTGCCTTGGTATCTTTTCTCCATTGCAAGAATATCCTGATGGAAACGTTCCCCGTGCTCTTCACTCACATCACCCAAATTTGGTCTGAAAAATTCCAAGTGTGAATGCAGGTAATGCAGCTTTATTGACATTCTGCAATTCATATCTGCGTACCGTACAATTAAGTTTTCCACTATCTCTTTGTAGTTATCACTCTTATTGTTGCCTAAAAAGCTATGAACAACATGTCTAAATGCAGTCCATGCTTCTTTTTCAACAGCAGACATTTTGTCCTCAAGCTCCTTACATGCCAACATAACTTTAATCTGTGGACCAACGAATATACCTGCTGAAATTTTTGCATCTGACACCTTTGGAAACATCTGCCGAATATGCTGGAATGCTGCACTATCTGGGTTTAATGCTTTGACAAATTGTTTGATAAGACCAAGTTTAATGTGAAGGGGTGGTAGTAAGATCTTTTCAACAGGTATCAGAGATTGATTAATAACATTGTGCGAACCAGGCTGTAAATGTTCTCTCACTGGCCACTCACGTCTTGTGAAGTGCTGGTTTGCAGCCCTGCTATCCCATAAACAAAGAAAACACAAGTACTTTGTTTATCCTCCTTGCAGACCAAGAAGAAATGCTAGCATCTTAAAGTCTCCACATACATCCCACTTGTAACTGTCGTAGTTGATTTTCTCAAGCAACAACTTCACGTTCTTATAGTCTTCCTTTAGATGAACGGAATGAGCTACTGGAATCGAAGGAAATCGGTTTCCGTTATGGAGCAAAACTGCCTTTAGACTTCTTGTTGAGCTGTCAATGAATAATCTCCACTCTTCAGGATTGTGAACAATGCCAATGTCATTGAAAAGACCACGAACGTCATGACAATAGCACAGTGATTCTGATACTACATAAAAGTATGCGAATGTTTCATGTCTTTTTTGGTATTTCGAGGTTCTGCAGCTTGGATCTAACAAATTCCATTCTTTCAAACGTGATGTCAGAAGTTCTGCATTTGATTTAGTGAGACCTAAATCTCGTACTAAGTCATCAAGTTCTTGTTGGTTAGGGAAATGAGGTGAACCATTCGGTTCCCTGAAATCACAGTCATCATTGAGTTCATCCGGTGAGTGTACTTCAGAATGATATGCAGCTGCTTCTTCGGATTGAGGTGGAGTAGGAACAGGCAATTCATCACTGTGTGGAACTGGTCCAATAGAAGATGGTATACTTGGATAAACTAGAGTCAGCCTATCTTTTGGTTTTTTATACTTTGAAATGTCAACAATGCAGAAAAAGCAGTCATCATGATGGTTCGTCGGTTCTCTCCATATTCTCGGAATCGCAAAGGGCATTGACTTTCGGATTCCACGCAGCCATCCTTCCAGAGTTGATCTGCAGCTACCACAACTGTAGTGTGGTGCCCACGATTTGTCCTGATCTCCCATAGCCATGCCAAAATAAGCATGATATGCAGTAAAGAATTTTGTACCACTGACAATCTTATGTTTAGCTTGTGTTGGACTAATATAGTAACCACAAACATAACAGAATGAGTCAGGACAAAGCTTGCAGGATCTACTAGACATATTCACTACTTCATGTAACAGTTGTAATTAGTTAAACTGAAAATAAACACACGAATATAGTTAAAATCAGCATATATATAAAATGTTTTAATTGCATTACACATATACGAAAACTCCGAAATATACTTTATGCTTTTTCTCAGGAAATCTTGATGATAGAGAAAAACCAATGGTACCACTGAAATCAGCATACAAAAATTATGTAAGAAACATTAAAAAATTAACATAAACAAAAATGTTGTTACATGGTGTTATTTAATAATAAACCGAATAAACATTCTCGCAACAACAATTGTTTTGCAAATGACCCCCCCCCCCCCCTAGATGCCCCCGTAATTTGCTATAACCGAAAAAAAATCAGAAAAACAGAAATTAGGTACCAAAAGTATTACACTTAGTAAACTGTCTGCTCCCTTTTTTTTCGTTTAAATTTGGCATTTACATAGAAAATGCATGTAGAAAATTGTTTAATAAAAAATAGAGCGGGATCAACATTCCTTCTACTACAAATTCAAGTGAGAACATCGTCTAAATTTTCATGCAAAATTTGAAGCAAAATAACCCATAAAGAAGTTTAGTAACCATACATAAAAGTTATAAAGAAATCACGCTTAACTTTTCTTCTTTCAAAAACAAACCTTCATTTGCATATTTTTCTAAAAAGAAATACCACAAAAGTACGTTTAACTAGGACTACCGAAAAAATGCAGTATGCGTAGTAGAACCCTTTGAAACCAATCTGCTCCCTTTTTTTTTTTCGTTGAAATTTAATATGCGCATAGAAATTGCATGCAGAAATTTGTTTGAATAATAAATAGACCGGGATCAATATTCTTTCGACTACATATTTATGTGAGAACATCAACCTATTTTTCAGAACCAAAATAATCCATAAAAAAATTCATTAACCATACATAAAAGTTATATGAAAATCAAGATTAATCTTTCTTCTTTCAAAAAAGTTTCTATTTGTATATATATTTCTATCTGTATATATATTTCTATCTGTATATATCTTTGTAAAAAAACGTAACAACGTTTGCCTAATGCTACCTAAAAAAAAGTTAAAAAAACGAGCCACAAAATTTTAATACAATCGGTTCCGTAAATCGTGATTTCCGCGTACCTAATATTAAAAGAGATTTGCTTTTTACTAATACAATCTATTTGACTTTAGAAAAATATATTGCTGGTTTAATACAGTTTTATTGATGTTATTCCATTTATGAAAAAATTGGGTGCTAGGTTTGAATACAACAAACAACATTTGGTCCAAATACTCCATTCATCACGAGTTTAATAAATAAGTTGCAGCATTAATTTTTACAAAACCAAAATTAAAAGAAAGTTGCTATATAAAAAATCTAAGATCCGCAGCCATTTTAAAATCTCTAAAATTTCTTATGAACTTTTTGAACATGCGCTCATAAACATAACGCTCGTAATTGATTGTAGGTTTTTAAGACTTTAGGGCCCTAATGACAGTTTGGAGGGGTGGGTTAGGCGGAAGGGGCAGAGTCTTTAGCCATACAAAAACTCCTTGATCCGTCGCTCGGCAGTTTATTTATTTTTATTAAACTCATTTATTATAAAGAAGTGCATAACTTTGGAGCACTTCAAACCAAATCGCTCTTATGCATGCTTGCACCTTACATTTATATTATTCTGCTACTACATCGCCCATACAAAATATTCACATTTATGCTGTTTAGATTTATGCAGATTTGCAGATATGAATATTGCATTTACTTAAGGCAATTTTTATAAAATTCTTGAAGTATACGACTCTTTTTGGTTTGTATTCTAGTCTTATGGATCAAATGGATTAGACTATTTGATTACATAAAATCATGAACACAAGATCTATTAGAGGGTGGGGAGGATTTTCAGTAAGGGAAATTCAGTTGCTTTAATTTTTCTGAATTCTTTAAT